GTTTTGAACAAAAGAAACTTGAAAATGATTTACGATCGACCGTTAGAAAAATCGAAAAATTAAATTGGAAATTAACTAACGCCAAACATGATGTGATTTTTATCAATAACTGCATTTCTGACAGTTTTAATCCAATAATATATATATATATATATATATATATATATATATATATGTGTGTGTGTGCGTGTGTTGGTAATAGACCATAATTTTTACAATTTTCTATAAATTCTACCGAACTACAAACATATTAACGCCAAACATTCGGTAGAATTTATAGAATATATATATATATATATATATATATATATATATATATATATATATAAGTATGTATACGTATGTAATATAAATATCATTTTGCAACATCACCATCATCGGCTTCGATAACCAGAATCTGATCGACACGATATATCAGGTTAGCCTATTTAATCAAACTACTTTACAACAAAAAGGCATTTGGAAATATTTTTGAATGAGTTTCAAGTTTATGATTTTTCAACGTTAGATAAAATTTTCGGTTGTTATTATTTTGTTTCTATTTTTGTCAATTTATGGCTTTTTGAAACTCGGAAGCCAGTTTAATGCCTTTGGTCTTTAACTTTTTTTTTAAATATTTTAAAATTTATTATTATGAATATTATTATAATAATAACTATTATAACTATTATTATTATTATTATTATTATATTGTTATTCTCCTCAGCCTCTTTTGCTGCTATCTACTGGCAGTTCACCCAATTTCTGAGTTGTGCGATTTTTGTTTCCTATTGTTAGAAACTCTAGAAATGTGTGGGCAGTACCAAATCGAGCTATCGTCTGCACTTGTGCAACATTTCCCTTTCCAAACAGTTTATCGAGATATTTTTGCAGTACCTGATTTACTGTTCCCAATGCACCAACAAATATTTGGATCACGCGTGTTTTTGTGTTACACATATGTACATAAAATTTCGATCTCAATATCTTCATATTTGCTTAGTTTTTAAACTTCCTTTGTAGCAACATTCGTGCCATTGGGGACAGCAACATCGATGAAGAGGCGTTTGATAGAGGCATTTTTGTTACTTCTATCGTGGAGTATGATGTCTGTTCGGTTAAACCCAATACAACGGTCGGTGTTAACAGCCATGTCATACTCGACAAACTATTCAGATTGGTGATTGTACCAGCAGTCAGACACATTTTGACTGTTTTTCAGGATTGGCCAATGTAGATATTTAGCAATCCTATTGTGTCAGTGCTTATATTCTTTTGGTGCTGATATTGGGCATCCGGCTACAATGTGGTTGACAAGCTCCTCCTGCTGTTGACACAACCTACATTTACAGTCGAGACATCCATGATAAGAATACATTTTTGATGGCATCGCGTATTAAGTGCCTGATCTTGAGCTGCTATGAGGAGACTTTCTGTTTCATCTTTGAGTTTAGAGCTGTATTGTATAGCCATCCAAATGTCTGTCTTTTGTCAACGTTGTTTTTGAGCGTGTCGTTGTAAAACTGATCTTGTAATGGTTTTGTTGAGTAAATTTTGATTTTCTCATCATTGAGTGCTCTTTTAAGTCTAAACTTATTTAGTCGAAAATCTTGGTTAGTTTCCGGTGGCATGTACTTAGCCTTGATTATTTTTCTGCTTTTATGCAAAATGGAGTATTTTCTTTTTCCATTTTATGATTAAAAACTAGTTTGGAGTATTTATCAGATTTTTGCGTGATGTATTCGCTAAGACCAACGACTGCTCGTTTTTAATTTTATTAGTTCACAGCCTTCGCTATTTCTAGTTATATAAATACGGTCAATATCAGCTTTTGGGTGAAAAAGACCGTATTTTGTTAATAATTTTGTCCATATCCTGAATTTTGCTGTCACTTCAGTCAACGATTCCAAAACTGTATTCTGGTACTGGCACGGCCAAGCTGTTGATAGCTTGTACCTTAATTTTGGTATTGAGTTGAGTGCCAAGGATAAGTCTGACACGAGGGTAATATTCTTTTCGGATCTTTTCTTTCATTTTTGGTCAACACCAAGGCATTTGCAGACCCCTACCTGATCAAGATTTCGTATCTTGGTGTTGTCATCAAATTTTTTGTCAATGCCGCAAACTTTTTGAGGGGGACATTTGAGTAATAACCTAATCCAAACACCATTTGGATAACGTCGCTAAATTTTTTCACTACACCCAGCTCTTGATCCAGTTGAACATCATTTTTTGCAAATAGTTTCAAGTTATCCATTTATAATAAATGACTGATCATTTGTTCTTAGCGAAATATATAGCCTAGATAATCGTTGCTTGGCATATTGGTTAAAGGAAAGCAAAGCAGTAAAGGTGAAAGTGAATCTCCTTGGAATATACCTCTTTTAATGGCCATTTTACCAGCTTTATTTTTTCCCCGGTCTACCAAACTCCATTTTAGTGTTACACTCTTTCAACCTGGAAGAAATTGATGACAGTTGAGCTAATTCTATAAATCTTCAGTGATGTTATGATCCAACTATGAAAAATTCTACTCTATCAAAAACTTTGCTGTAGTCGATCCAAACCTCACTGAGATTGTGTTTTCCATTTTTTGCGTATTCTAAAACTGCTTTGTCTAGGAGAAACTAATCTTTGCATCCATGCGCTGATCTCCTACATACTTTTTGCTCTGGTGGAAGAATGTTGTTGTTATTGAGATGAAAGTACAATTTCTTAGAAATAAAAGCAGTTAAAAACTTGTACATAGTTGGGAAACTAGAAATCGGCCGTTAGTTCTTAGGGTCTTTTGATTCATTACCTTTTGGATACAGATGAGTTACAAGTCTGGTAAATTATCTTAATATCTGATAGTTTTATTCATTTCTCTAGCCAGTTCTCCAAGCAAAAAATCAAAGCCCTTAAAGTATTGGATATTCCGGCCGGGTGCCTTTCAATTAGCAAGATTTCCAATGATCTGTTTTACTTCTTCTACTGAAAGATCATTCCATTTCTGTTTCTAATGTTATATTATTATTATTTTCATCATCATTATTATAGCTGTTGTTATATCTGCTTTCTAAATTGTATAAATTGTCAAATGTTGTACATTTTAATATTTTTTTTAAGTATAATTATGTTAACTAAATTTTTATTTTTAAATTTTGAAAAAATTTCTGTTGGAATTTAGTGACTGTTCTGGCTTTTGATGTTTTTTGAACATTCAATCAATATATGCTGATATTTTATTTAAATTTTATACAACTAAAGGTTGGGGAGTTAGAAATTTTTACGAGCTTGTATTGTTCCAGATATGAGACATAATCTACCAAAAGCAATAGTTCCAAAATCTGTTGGGTTGTTGGCGCAGTTGAAATATGTTGAACATTGTTGAACAAAGCCAACAAAAGTTTCAGCTCGGCTAATAACTACAACAACAATTTTTGCAAAACAATCAACCAATTTTTGGCAACCACAATAACAACAACAGTTCTCAGTAAATAATACAACCAACAGTTAATGCCTAACAAAGTGCACAAGAGAATATACATTTTTTGAATTAATAAAACACAAAACGCAGTACGTGTAGTCATAATAAGTCATAAGTACATAAAATAATAGTGCAACAAAATGCGATAATATATTTCAATTAATAATTTTACAGATTTATAATTGAAAGACATTATCAAAATTATGTATAAATGAAAAGATTTTGACCCAGTAAAAGACGAATTTAAAAAAATGTTGCTCATGATTGTCTGCTGTTATAGCATATTTAAATTCTAATCTCAAGTTTGAATCAATTGCTTGATCAATTATTGACCATCAGACACATCAGCTGAGTCATTCAAATTTAATACCTTATTTGATCTCATTAATATGCAAACTAAAATGTTCACGTTATATCTTCGGCTTATACAAATTTTGAATAAAAAAATTCAAGTTAGAATTTAAATTTGCTATAATACAAATGTAATTTTTTGGAAAAAATTTCAAAAATTTGTTTAATTAAAAATTTTATGAGGAAACTCACAAATGCAAAAAATTTTAATTTTAGTTAGCGAAGAAATTGAAATCTTTGAAACAAGTACACATTCAATCACGTCATTAGGAGCATCACGCATCTCAAACAAATTTTAAAATTGAATAAAAATAACAGACTTTGAACACTAATTGTTAAAAAATTATTATGGTCAATAAAATTTTTCAAGAAAGATTTATAATTATAAATCTTTCCCTATTTTGTTGATAAACTTAATGAATTTAGTAACTACTAAATGAAAAAATTAAAATTGGGAGTGCAATATCTTTTGGATCATAGAACATAATTACGCTTTAAGACGAAAATTTTATGTTATTTTCTGCTATGCCTGAAAATTTAGATAACATCTTCTCTAGATAATAAGTTACATAGGAAGAAGAGGCGTTATTTTGTCATCACCCACACACACAATCATATACTAATTAATGACTCCACGTTTAGTTAATTAGAGCTTAGATGGCTTTTTTAGTCAAAACTAGAAAAGCGAAAAAGCGATGTTCTTTAAAGTTTCATTCCTATGCACATAAATCTCTTTTAAAATTAACGATTTTACAAGTGCCAAAAGGTTAAAATTTTTAGGTGCAACATTTACAAGCCAAATAATTTAAAAAAACAAACAAAAATTGAATAGATTTGGATGTTTGATAATGAAAAGATTTGAAAAGAAAAAATTTTCTGAGATGTTAACAGAAAGTATATTCAACTGCATTGTTTAAAAAATTTTAAGAAAAATGTTATTGATTGTATTAGTTTAGCACAATTGCAGTAACATGTTGTACAACTTTGTTGTATGCAAAGATCAACCGATGTAATTTATTAACAAAGAATGTTAAACAGCATCAACCTGCTAGAGCTGCCTAACAAAGAATCTTTTTTATTGGTTGGTTGTAAAATCTTTGTGTCCTTCCATAATGTTTTGTGTTTATATATATATAAGATGATTTCATGGAAACTTAAATGCGTGATAATTCTCGATTTATAAAACTTCAAAAATGAATAATTTACTGGTTGGCGTCTATGCAAAAGCAAACGAAATTGCTGACCAATATTTGAAACAATTTTGGGAAATGAAAGATAAGGATAAAACAACTACTTTAGGTCATGCGCTTATGTATTCCAGCATCAAACACAATTTATCACCAAAAGAAATCAATGAGCTTTCTGAGTACGCACGAAAGTTGTCCAATATGTTTGGAAGCATTCAAGGATGGTTCCTTTGTGTTCCAGTTACAATGTGGTCATGTTTTTCATCAGCAATGTGTTGAGGAATGGCTTAAAAATGTGAAGTCCTGTCAAATTTGCAGGAGTCAGCTTTGCAATAAAAGCAAAGTTCTTAGGAATCACGTAATAAAGGAGCTGGTAATTTAATGATAAATTTGTTCAGTGTACCAGATAAATATTTTTTTTATAAATAAAAATGAACCTTATTAATAAAAAAAGTGTATCTATTTACTTCTACCGTTTGGAAACACTAAAATATCTTAAAACGATTTTATTCATTTTTTTATAAACATCTGTATCTGTTTTAACGGTGACCAGTCAAAATAGTGCACGACAAAATAACGCCGATAAAATGACGTAAACATCGCCAAAATTTACCGACAAAATAGCGTGCAACAAAAAAAGCGCGAATTTTCCAATAAAATGGCGCTGACAAAATAGCGAGCGACACAATGGCGCAAGGAAAAATTCAGAAATTATCACTTATTCAATGTCAGTTTTACAATTGAAATTGTAAAGTTTAAATGTGTTTTGAAACTAAATCATTAAAATGATCATTGTAAATTAATTTTTTTTTAAATTTTCTAACAAAATTGTAAAAATGGTATATCAGAAACCATTAACTTATTCTATCTATTGCGACAATTTACAAATGAAATTGTAAAAATGACAATTAAACAATCAATACACAATGTTTTCATTAACATTGTGTATTGAATTTGAAAGAGTGCTTTTGAGAGGTGTTCAACTGTTCATCTATAAAAAGCGCTATATAAATGTTCTGATCAAAATAATAATAATAACAACTCATAATTCAACTGATTAATGAATAACAAGCCAGACTGTGAAAAATAAAACAAAATATGGTTAAATTTTTTCAAGTTATAATAAATTCCAATAAAAAAGTTTTGACAGCCAGTTAGTATTGACATATGACACTTAATCTTACGTCCCATCCCAAATAATAAATTCATATAAGAAATAAGGGTATAATAAAAATAAATGAAAATATATTTAGGTGATAACAGTTTTAATTTATTTATTACACCTATAATTTTGAACATTTTTTTGGAAATTTATAAGATACGATTCTTCTAATTTTAATTACTCGCGATAATAATACTTAAGATTTTTATACTTTCACTCTATTTATAGTAAAATTTTTAGAAATTATTGGAATTTTTTTAAATTAGTTACAATTTCGGGACCAAAGAAAATAACATTAGTTTTGGATATATTAATTTTAAATTATTTGCAACATTTCCATCTAGACTTATGTAGAAGTTTGGTATTCACTAGAGTTTCGACTTCTTGCACCGTGCTGCCATTGCTAGTATCATAATTTTGTCTGCACACATAACAAACATAATAATACTAACTATTATATCAAAAATATTTTCATAAGAAAAGACAAAATAACTAAACTAATTTGGTATATGACACGGCAATTTTTAACTCAAACTGATTAAAACTCGAGAAAAAAAATACTGAATCGATTTATGAATACATGATAATAAAGAAAGCAGAATATTCGATCAAGATGTTAATTTATTCATTATATTTTGAAATTCCATTCTAACAAAATTATTTTAAGGTTTTCAATAAGTTGGAATTAGATTAGATAATTTAATAAATCGTTAAAAACCGTCCAACGATAAAATAGCACACGACAAAGTGGAAACGACAAATCCGCGCCGACAAAACAGGGTAAAAATAACTGAGTTATTTGTTAGCGGCAGATTCTCTTGGACCGAATCCCGGACATTCCAAAATGTCACTGGAAATCTTGGTGTCGCTTGCAGATTTCGTTTTTTTCAACCAATATAATTATCATCCCAATATTTGTACCCTTTTTTAACAACATTGGGGTAAGCTTCATTTAGATCTTCAAATTCAGTAAGTAACAAATGAAAAAACTAACAGCATATTTACAAATAATTAAGCTTTTTTTGCACTTTACGCAAAAGACTACGCAAAAGACATTGCACATTCCCGAGGTGGAATAAACAACCAATTAGTTTGCAGATTGGAAATACGGTGCTTATTGCATTCTGACTAGCCTTTTCAAAATCCATCACAACACTTTGTGGAACAAGCGTTGGTATTTACTCAAAAAGTTTTCTAAAAACTCTAACATACTCTTCTTGTTGTTTTGACGGAAGGAGTGCATAAATAAATGGTACAGCAATGTAATCGCTTAGTGCATGCACTGTAAACACTTGCAAAATAGCTGAGGTGCAACTTTGAATGTTTTATCAACGAACCGGTGTGGATAGGTTTCAAGAAGCTGCAATTTATCATCTTTTCCAAACCTAAGTATTTGACGATAGTTATCTGCTCGAGAGTCCCACAGTGAAAAGTTGACATTGCGATTTGTTACTGAAAATGTATCTGGCATCATAATTTCATATAAAGAATGAAGTGTTAAAAGTGGCACTTGTTCATGTCTACGTTTTCGTTTAATTGGCCTTTGTAAAGCGTAACACGATGTAATCGCTATTGTTGCTACAGTTGAATGTTTACTACCTGAATGAAAGTGGGAAACAGTTTTTTTTTCATTTACTTGTAGAAGTTGTTGATTTATTTCATTCAAAGTAGTTTTTGTTAATCATTAAATAATTTAATCATATATAATGACCGCTGAGATGTATTGACTGATGGGCATAGTCTAACTAAATAGTTGCGAACTAATAGTTTAACAGATTTTTTTGGTTTACCGCATAGTTTAACTAAAAAATAACTATGAATTATATTTATCATTATAATCAGGCATATATCTGGCACGCATTACATGTATGTTTAATTATATCAGTTAAAAACGATCATCAAAATCAAAAATTAACAAGCTGGTTTAGATTGTAAATACCGCATCTACACGATGGTATTTTAAAAAATTTTGGGAAGTTTTCATTTCGAGCGAGATTGATTTTTGGCTACTAATAATCAGTTTTTTCTCATATACTTTTTCAATAATAAAACCGCAGAATTGTTTTGAGAATATTATAAATGAAGAAAACAAGACGCCTTAGCAAAATACCACCTTAAAAGAAAGTACATGTATTTCAAACTAGGACTACTTTAAAACGATCATTATTATAAAGATCAAGGAAACGAGCAAGTAAATTTTGAAAATTGAAATAACCGTGACAACAGAAAATAATTGGAATCCCGTTTTCCATTTGAAATAAAATTCTTCAAAAAACCAAAAATAAATTAATCTGACAATCGAATGATTGTTTAATGGAACTTGAATTGTGCTTTTCGTTTGCGGTTCACTTTTCACAAAATTTTATCACGTATAAACTATCATTAATTTAAGCGGTTACAACGCTTTTTTTTATACAATTGCACTTTTAGAAAAAAATCACATCAAGGATATTTTGACTTCAATCGACTCGAAAACTGTTATTATACTCAACACCAATCTTTCGGTTGTAATAATGATTTATCAAAGATTTAAAACAAACTAAAAAATAAATAAATTTTATTGTTAATATTATAATGATATTCAGAAATTACAAGCCACACAAAAAAACATAAGCAGCACTAAAAAACAAAATTTAAAAAATGTTAGATTCAAACAGTTAATAGTTAATTCAAGTCAATTAAATTTTTTGTTTTGATTTGTAGCTTTCACTTTGAATTGGCTCCACCCCGGTTCATTAATTTCTATATCTGAAATAATCTATTTTTCCGCGGTAAAGTTATTTTCAACCAAACCAGATGATAACGTAGAAACCGTATTTTTGCTTTTGAGATAGGAAAAGATCGAAGTTTCCTTCCAACTGATGGAACTACTCCACTCATGACGCACAGATCTGTTGCATGCACAGTGAAACAAAAATATGAACAGTCCTTGCAAGCTGATGAATGTCACCAGAATGACCTGAGTGAAAAGAAAACAATTAAAATAGAAATTCGAAACAAATTTCAAACCTTTGAAGTAAATTACATAATTTAAATAAACTCGTAAAGCGATATATCCCCGTTAAACTAAATTTACAAAAAAAAACAAATAGTCTAACTCCAATAATTCCTTTAAAAAGCTCTACTGAGTCCATCTCTTCATTCTTCAGAGCTCCAAATGCACTCAAAATCCACGGAACGCCCAGCAAGACCAACAAAGTGAGAGCTGCCGCCAATCGAGATTTTGTGTTTTGTCTCTCTTGATCTTAAGAGGAATAGTAAAAATTTGCTCTGTTATGGATTCATTTAAACAAACTCGTTTATAAAACTTGCGTTCAAAGCGATAACATTTCAAATGAATTATATTTATTTAGTTGGTGTCATTCAACATTTACCAGTTTTGTTCATATTAGGAGAACTTTTGCACAGGACTTTTATAACCATAGCGAAAACTATGATGTTATGCGTTATTATGACCAACATTGGAAACAGCCAAGCAAAATAAAGCGTGTTGTTCTTCAGACCGCATCTGTTTATTAGAAGGTTAACAACAAACACAAAACTAATCCATCGTTTGAAATTATTTCCTGGCACCTGAAAGAACAATTGATGTAGTCTCCATCAAATGCTGTCCTGTCTACCAACAGAATAAACAACGCTAACAAGGCTGGAAAACCTGTTCCATTGGAAAGATGTCGATATCATTTTTTAAAAATGAAAAAATAGACGATTTTCAAATTTTTGTAAACATTTGAATTGACAGATATAAATATTGTGTGCAATAATTTTAGCTGGTAACAATTGTTATAACAACCCCAAGCAATGCAGTTTGAGGTGAGAATGAAGTGACTGACGTGACTGTTGTAGACCACCACCAACATGCGATACATGTTGTGCGCCTCCACTCCATTCCACATCAGCGACACCAGCACGAAATAATATCTTCAAAGTGCAATAATTTCAACTACACTTCTTTATTTGAATTCAAGTCTTAAACGACTACTTTAACCGTGTCAAAACAATTGAGTAATTGGATAAAGTCCTATAGCAACAAAAATAATGAACGTTTTTTAAAACTTATTAAAAACCTTAAAACGTTGTAGATCCAGCATTCGCTTCTTGTGTTGCATCTGAAATCAGCAACATACAGTACCAGCAACAAACAAATCAGTGATATGCACAAGTTAACCAATATTTTTGTGGCTATTCCTTTGCGAGTAGTTCTGTCAGTTATATAGAAGGATGCATTAAACACTTTTAAATTGAGTCTTATAAAGAACTAACGGTTTATAAGACATTTTAATAAATAAAAATGATTATAGTGAAAAAAGTATGGAAATCAGTGAGATGTAAACTTGAAAATGGCATAAGTGAGGATGGTGAGAAAGAGGGAAACGATGGACACCGCCCTCATGACCATTCCTGCAACGCTCAACTCTTCGATGTAAGGAAAGTTCTGAGTGGTTGCAACAAAATATTCTCTGACGCGAATTGTAACATGTTTTTAAGAAATCTTTTTCTAAAATTTAACTAAAATTTTAAACTTTAATTTCAACATTTTCCGAATTATTAAAAAAATTAATTAAATAACTAATTATTTTTCAAAATCTAACCAAAAACTCAGCAATGTTAGTTTTGCTCGTAACAAAATGATAACCATTTGACTGCTGAATAAAAATGTTTTAGATACAAATTGTCAGTTGAAATTGAAATTTCAGAATCACAATATTTATTTAACATCATAAAAATAAAACATTAAAATGAAGCATGTTCAAACACATAGACATCATTTGAAACAAACATCCTGAATCATGAAAATAGCAATAAAGCCCGTTTCGTTGCAGAAACATGTTATGGAACTTTCAAGAAATTCAATGGCGCAATCAAATTTCCACAATTCAGGTGTAAAAATCTTAATATTGTTAGGGATGGTTTTGTTCTCAAAAATGTTTTCATTGATGCCGACCAAATTTTCGTAATCGTATCGGCCACAGATTGCTGATGAAATGTTTTTCCCCTATGAATAAACATGAATAAATGTTAATTAATCAAGTAGTTTTAAAAAATTAGGTTAATTTTTAGACAAATTTGTAATAATGAATAATCCAACTTATTGCTGATCCAAAATTTTGATTTAAAAATGTATCTCAGTAATTAGCAACTATGTATTTTAAATTAAACCGAAATTAGAAAAGTTTAAAATTTGCTAAAGATTTGCTTTATAAATTCAATATTTGATAAAAAATTGTTCATGCACTTCTGAATGTTTTCACGTTTGAGCTACTTAGCAAAATGAAAGTTATTTACTCTCATCAAATACCCATGACCTAAATATAAAAATACTCATTGTCAGAGGACAGGAGTTTTTTCCACAATAAAACTTGAAATATAATTGTAATGACTTTTTTTACTGTTCAAAACCTTTTTCCTAAATTTAAATAGTAGAATTTTAGTTAATTATAACTACTTCTATAAATTAAAATAAAACGTGCTATAAAATGAACTTAATGTGGAAAAACGAAGAAGGACCAAACGGAATGAATAATGGAAAAGTTAAACAGCTTAAAAGCCAAAAAATATGAAGCAGACTTTGAATAGAGCACTATGATCCTTTTCAAAAAAAAGCCTAATCACTAGTTAAATGCATAAGAATCGTCCAATTTTTATGGAATTGATAGTTTGGTTTGCTTTTTAACGTAATGGTAAAAGTTCGTCTACTGATTTTGTGAAACTATGGTACAACACAGGATAGCAGTAACCGATAAATAATAAAATATTTAGAATAATATGAAATTTTTTTCAATTCAAATCGCATCAAAATAAATTTCTTTGTGTATATATGTTTCCAATAGACTAACCAGATTGAGGTTTTCAAATCCAACTTTAAAAGAGAGTTTCTGATCCTTGGAACCGACGACGTCGTTGTACCTGTAAACCTTGAAGTCAAGAAAGAACAAGGGACTGGACAGACTTCTGAGATCAATTAAAGGTTAAAAAGTGAAGTTGATGGTGGAGGTGAACTCAAAAAAGAAAAGAAAGCAACAATGAATTAGAACGCAAAACTTTGAAATTAGTTTATGAAAACATACGCAGTTAATTTTAATTTGTTTACCTATAATTATTATGATATCAGTAATTTTATTAATTATCGCACAACAGAACGTATTGTTAGTAAGGAGTAGTTTTATGTTCCATTCTGTTAATTTAAAATAAAGCAACTTTCGGAAATTAAAAAATATCATTTTATAGTCTCAAATAAATTTGTCGTACTAATATAAAGATTGAAACAAATTCTATTTAATTTTTAATGCCATCATTCCTCCTAGCAAATGTTATCAAATGAAACTTTGATAAATTGTTTACTGTAGTATCAAATTATTAAACTGAATCATTTATCAGATTAATTCAAAATATTTGAGTTTCAATAAAATTTAAAAAACCTTGAAATTTGTGAACGTTGGGTAGGGATTAATGCCCAAGCATTAACGACTCCAGCATAATTGTAAACGTTACGTGATGCTGCCAAATTATTATCAATTGAATTTATTTGTTAGTAATTTTTTATTTTTTTTTTCAATAAAAATGTATGCGACATTCAATTGTATACCCATGAAATTGAAAAATTGACATAAAATTATCACCACTGTTTAAATAGCTGTATGAGCCGGTTGTTGAGTCGCTGCTGCTCTTCTCTGTAGAGTAGTGGAGCTCCTTAGAATGAGGAACGTTGTTTTTCTCTATCATTAAGTCATTGACATAACTGTTGAATGCAGTTGATGAAGGTGAGAAAGTAGTTGTTTCGCTGCCTGAGTAACTGCTCACGCTCTGAAAAAAAATTTGTATGTGGTTCTTGTGAGTTAATAAAAATTACAACTTACGGACTGACTGATTGATTACATTGTTGACTAACAAAACACCAAGGCAATATTTTTCTGTGAAAACGCCGGACAATTTATAATTAATTTAAAAGCTTCCAATGTTTTGACATATTCAGCATTCATACAACATGCATTCAATTCAAAATTTTTAATCTCTCAAACTCATCACATGGTTATTATCAAAATTGTTTAAGAAAATATTTTAAATTTTCTTAAACATCAATAACATGGATCTAAACGTACAGAATTCGGCGCATCACTCTTAGATGGAGGTATAGTAACGGAGAGTGGGTTGTAGTCAACTGGACCGACGATGGACAAACTTTTCATACCAAACATGAGAAAACTTCTAATTTCAATGGTGACTGCTATACAAAAATAATAACAAGTTAATTTTAGTTTGTTTGACTATTTTATTCATCATCAGTTTTGTTAACATCAACATTATCATCGTAGCCCTGCATTCAATTGAAATTCATCAAATTAAATGAAGTACAAAATACAAAGGTTTAAATTAACAATTCAGCATCGGCTAAGAAAATAGAACATGAACAACAAATTAATATTTCACTCTAAAAGTTTTGATCTTTAAAGTTGAGTTAATTTTTTTATTAATTTTGTGTTAATATATTTCGGAAGCATCAACTTTGATCAGCGAATCACTCACATTGCATGTGATTTATTTTTTTATTTTTTCTGTTTAATCTTAGACAAACCTTGAAAGATAATTTGCGTGTAACATAAAAAGTTAGTTTAACGGAGTTCTTTACGTCACATGACAACAATCCAAGCATACACATAGATAACCAGCACATACAGTGCCGGATCAAGACAACGTTAATAGAGGAGACCAAAATTTTATTAATGTTAACATTTTTTAATTTTGACAAAAGAGCCAAGAAATTCAACAAATGTTCGTAAGTTTAGCCGAAAATTAGGCTGGTGACCTTTTTTTGGTGCATTCTGTATCAAAAATACGATGTTTATTATGATTATTAAAACTTAGTTATACTTACTTTTAATAACAACACAGCTCATGACAAGGTGGGGTCAAAAATCTGTCACTGAGTACATAATGCTCTAAACCAGTCCCAAACAATACCCCCAATTTGCCATTCAGAAAAGGTTGATTGTTATGAAACAGTGAAAATAAGCCACCATCAGAGCATAAAGGCATGAATGAAAAAACCGAAAAATAAGCTAACACCCAAAATAAAGTGTTCAGATGCATCCCAGTTTTGCCAATGAAATCATAGTCATAATCGATATTACATTTTCATTTTTAATATGAAGAATCTAACCAGGATTGGCGAAGAACGTTATAGACAGTTGAGCCAACGTTCCGTATCTCCCCACAAATTTGTGGTTGAAATAATCTTTGAATGGGAACATCGAGAACAAATATTGGGTGTTGTTTCCTTGAATGTAGTCTATATATGGTAGCTTCCCATATCTGCGCATTATGAATCTTATCATGCTGGTCGTCAAGTTTTGGTAGATGATAACTTTCTCAATTTTATTATCGTTAAAATTGAGTACATTGATGTCATTTGAAGAGTTTTCTGAATGCTGGTCAGCGTTTTTGCTTTTGTTTGTTTTAATTTCTTCAAGACCATACATGAGCTTATTGCCATCCCACTTCATATTGTTCAACTGCTTCTTGAAGCCAGGTATTAGAAACATTTCTTGATTCATTATAATTCTTCAATAATGATAAGTGTTAGTCAAATAATGTTTTCATTAAAAAACGAGTAATAACACTTCAATAGGTCATATAGTCGAATCAGGAAAACAACATCAAAGTGATTTACGGTTAACAATTATAAAATAATTTTGTAAATAAAAATTTGGCGTGAAGCGTTTGCAAAAAATGGATTTGAGGGTTCCGTAGGGTGAATTAGCATTCCTTTTAAAAGAAAAGTGAAATAGAATCTATTGTAAGTGAGAAACGTTGACTAAAGATATAAATAGTTACAAACACGTTCATTTAATTCTTGTACTAAGATAATTTTAATCAATTTCGTACACAACTGCGAGTTCAGTTTGACATAAAAATTTGTTAATGT